CAGCTTTTGTAAAGGTTATATATTTTTTTTTCTAATTTGACCATATCTCACTAAACCAATACTGTATCAAACTCCTGCTTGACCAGGACAAAAGACCACATATTATATGATTCCATTTGCATGAAATGTTCATGATAGGCAAAGCTATAGGGAAACACAGTAGATTAGTGACTGCTTTGAGCTGGGGTTAATCAGTGGAGGATAGAGAGTAATCACTAATGGGTACAGGGTTTTTGTGAGGGATAATGAAAACATTCTAAATTGATTACGTTGATTGCAGTATAACTGTGAATATATTAAAAATCATTGAATTGTATACTTTCAATATGTGAATTGCATGGTATGAGTTTCATCAACAAAGCTGTTAAATATAACTTACAAAAAAACAAACAAAAAACTTCTGCTTGGCAATTTATTAGCTGTGCAATCATAAGCAAATCTTTTCATTTCTCTGTGCCACAGGTATTTCTTTGTAAAATGAGTATATTAGATCAGAAAATTGGCAAGACCTTTTGTAGCTCTCAAAATCCTATGATTACATGGTTGTCTGGCTTGATAACCAATATTTAGAAACCAGCTCTCACATTCATAAATTATGCTGTCAATGAGTTCAATATCTGGATTTGAGTAAGTTTAAAGGTCAATTGGATGAAGCTGACTCTTCGTCAGCCAGTTAAATTTGACCTTTGAACTAACAGCTTCATCTTTCCTCAGCTCCAGAGAAGGCTGAGAGCCACTAAGAGCCACATCTCCATACCTTTTACTTCTAAACGAAAGAAGCCAAAGCTCAGCTTGCTATTTCTAGGAAGCTCCTTCATGATCTAACCCAATCCAACTGATGCTGCTAAGGATTGGCTGCTGTGTCTTCTATTGCAATCATAGGCTGGACATTACTTTCATAGCTGAAGGTCAAAGCCCATTCTTTCCAGTACAGGAGACAATACCCGTGGATGAGAAAGACTGAAAAAGTCAAGAGAAAGAATAGCAACACAACTGGAACGAATTAAGCTGTGTCTTACAATGTTGGAATGAGGATTATGTTGGGAAAAATGGAAAATTTCCAGCCTTCTACACTTGAACCCAAATCCCCTACAGTGTCAGGAAATCAGAAACTTAAACTGTCACAAGAAATATAATGAGCTATAAAGAAAGTCTATACCACTTATCAAGGAGAAAACTCTGCTGGCTGCCAATTCCTTACAAGGGGTGTGGCTTTACAGTCACCAAATTAAGATACATTAAACTTTTGCATGAGACTTTGGAACAGAACACTCCCAGTGGGTCAAAAATGCCATTCTCTGGTGGATTAAAACCTAATTGTATCACCATCTTGTGCCGGCTGTGCCTACGGGAACAGCCTCATGACCCAGAGGAAATTAGCCAGAACAATGGATAGACGGGAAGGTCTTAAGTCTCTAGCAAAGAAACAGACTTGCTGGAGGGGTAAATGCGATGTCTTTATCATTAGGGTTGGGTGCTAGAACACATAAAATCTGAGATGAGCTGAGGTAAGAGACTATCCAGGAAAAGCTAAGAGAAAAAATAATGTTTGGGCAACCCGTGAGTCTATAATCTCTTATGACTTCCAAAACTGCATATTACTATGATGAGTCAGTTCTAATTGGGCAGGACATACTGAGCTGGGAACACTAGCCCAGGGACACGCTTTGGTCACTCTCAGGCCAGTTCTGGCCCCATAGCTGGAGCATCTGAGAAGCTTTGGGGCCGGCAGCCCTGCGCTCTGCACTGGCCAAGCCTCCCACACCAAGCACGTCTGTTGGCCACTGGTCACAATCTCCCCCGGAGTTGTGAAATAGCATTTTCAAACAATAGTTTATGCTAACTTATGGATATAAGTCTGAAGATCATGCAGATGCAGCAGCTCTCTCAACACTCTTTTTATGTGTACAATTCAGTGCTTTTTAGTAAATTTACTGAGTTGTGCAACTATCATCACTATCCAATTTCAGAACATTGTCATCTTCCCAATAAGATTCCTTATGTCCGTTTACAATTAATTCCCATTCCCACCCTCAGCCCAGGTTATGTGCAGGTGATGTGAATGCCCTTTCTTTCCCTCTATCCCCATGTCCTCACTTTATTTATCAGTGTCCATTGCATGGGGTGGTTACCTATGTGTTTCCTAGTAAGGGACAATGGCTGTGCAGTTAGCTACCACGTAGAGGTCAGACACACATGCACACACACATGCACACACACGCACACACACCACCAACCAGGGAACCAATGCAGTAGCCTCTCCACTCATCCCATCAGGGAGAAGCCCAACACACTGCAAGACGCTTCCAAGCCAGCTATTATAGGGATGGCCACAATTATCAAGGGCTGTGGGAAAACTGAATGTTATCCTTCACAATATGTATCATTTTTAGAAATCATCGTCACTCAGACTTTTATGCTGAGGATTCCACCTGTGCTCCTTGAAGATGATATTGATGAATTTAGAGGGAAAAACCAAGAAGAGGGTCAGGGAACTGAAGGAAATAACCATAATCAAACAAATTCTGGGAAGCCAATGACACCATTCACCCAATGTTTTCTTAACATCAAAGGTTAAGCATAGTTCTAAAAAACAGTAGGAAGAGAATCAGAGACACATTTTTTAAATTGGCTCCGCTGTAGGCTAATAAGATGTCAGTGTTTGCCTTCTGTTTCTTTGTCAGCGTGTGGTATCTGGCAGTTACCAAGGTGTTTTCTAGCAGGAAGAAACTCACGTGCCATAGAGTAAATCTGCCCCATGGAGGTCAGAGAATGTGCCGCCCTAAGCACTCATCCTGAGAGGTGGACTAAAACTCTGGATTCTATATGTGGAGAAAATTAGCACTGGCTACACTGGCTCCATTCTGAAAAACGAGCCTGATGAGATGAGACCAATTATCCCTGCAAACATCCCTGAAATGCATTTTAATGTAACTAATGCCCACACCTCATTTATTTTTTTAACATTTTACATTTTCACTGATTAAAAAAAAAACTGTAGCAAAATGGATTCATATACCCATATCACAAAAACTTAACACTTTTCTTTTAAATTATTCAGGTATGCAAGGAAATGGACAGCATCTTTCATAGGGACAAGGTTCTTCCACTCAAGAGCTGGAAAGAAATTCCATTCTAATTGAGGCCAGTTGGTAAAAACCCTGTTTCATATGAGCATCACATTTTCCTATTTTTCTCCCCTGATTCTACCCTCAGAATGACAGAAAATACCTTGTGACAAAATATATAAAACATTGGTTGGGCCTGCACTTCCTCATAAGGGAAAGGCAAAAGAAAATGAAAACTTAAAGTCCCTATAGAGTTTTTTTGAAGCATAAAAAGCAGACATTTTTAAATGCATGAAGTGCCACAGTCCCTTCCCCCAACTCTTACAACACAGCACATGGAGTTTCGCATTTTCTATTTTGGAAAAGGAGAAAAAATAATAAGAGAACTTAAAACAGAGGGATTATTTAACATACTTTTAAATTTCCATTTTCATGATCACTCAAATTAGACAAATTATGGTGACAGGACTAACTGTGAAATAATGGTGGAAAGAAATGATAATCTTGAGAAACAGAGATTTCTGACTAGAGAGGATCACACTGAATTAAATTGAAGTGATTTCCACTCTAAGAATAGAAGCCTTGAAAGCAAAAGTCTAGAATCAATTAACCATATTTGCCCATTCCCTTAACTGAATTCAACATTGATCTAACGCCCATATTTGAATTAACAGGCAGAAAATTAAAAGTGGATTACTTCACCACATTGAGGAGAATACTCCAACTGCCTACCTTAAGATGTTGCTGACATACAACAAATGATGCTAAGGCTTTAAACACAGGAGAACAGAATCCACTTTAAAAGCTATTCATACATTGGTCTGGGGAGAATTAACCCAGAGAATATAATTTGTGCTACTTGAAACACACCAAGTCAAAAAAATATCCAAAGAGAAGATATCTACCAGCATAGGCAAACCATCATCATTAACACATAAATTGCAATACAGGCCACGACCAATCAAAGAACTCCAATGGCCAGCATCAGCCTCTGCATTTCCTTCCCAGTATTAGGAGCAGCAGGAATAAATTCTCAGAAACAAAAACTGGAAAAGTGCTTCCACAATATCCTGTATACTTTAGAAATGTAGGATCTTTACTATGTTGTCAAAATCAGCTGAGAGCTCAGAGTCTGTCATTATAAACGGCACTGATGTTTACGGTGGACCTTAATATGACAATTAGTTCAAAAGGAACTCATCTCCAAAAAGAAGTCACTTAATTGTGGTTTAACATTAAAATAGAAGGAGCCAGTTCTATCATTGGGTCGTCTTTCCACTAAATAACTACCATAGAAACAATAATTCCACATGCAAGTAATAACTCAAAAGCTTCTCCACTATTGGGAAGCTGTTGAATTCCAACATATATTACCACATATAGTCAAATTCTTCATCAAGAATATAAATGTTATCGATCTTTGCCCTGATAGGGAGGACTTTTCATTTATTCTTCAAATAACCAAAAAAATTCCTTTTCCTATGCCAAATATTGGAGATCAAATTAAAGTTCTACAAATGACATGACTATAACATTCCAACTGTCAAATTCCTGAATTCCAGGTATACCTATTTTGAAAGTTTTTGCAGGAATATTCAACTGCAACTCAAGGATTTTATAATCATTGTTTTCCATACTGAAGGACAAGGTATGTAATATCATAAAGGCTTCCTTTAAGTCAGCCTATTCTATTTTCACAAAATATCAGCATTAGCCTTAGAATTGAGATACAATCTGGTTAAATCAACTTTCACACACAGTAACTGCAGTGCAACAAAAAAGAAACGAGGGAGACTGCTTGCCTCCTCATATTTAAGAATCTCATATGTCCCCCACTCCAGTAGAATAGAACCAACACCCCCACATTTGGTCTTCCAAAAATAGCCAGCCCTGTGAAGAGAAGGTGAGAGATAATGAAGACCAGATGCCTACCTTCACTGGTAGCCACATTCTTCTGGGCTTTGGTCGGCGTATGATCTGTACTTGAACTCACGTCGGATGAGATGCTTGAGCTGCCTTTGCCTGGAGAAAACAGGAATGAGCCACTTTTGAATTTTGTAATTTCAGAACTGGACCTTGCCTTCCACCCAGTCCCATACCAAGCCATATCCCTTGTTTCCAAGAAAGGAGCTATAATACAAAGAATGGAATTTATTAAGTTTTTTGCCTTATGCATTAAATATCTTTTGGGAAATATCTGACCCATGTTATAGGAGAACTAAAGCCCTGCTTTAATATGGCTTGACTATAAACTCAGACAAGATTATAAAACACAGTCAAATATGATAATGTAATCTCATTTTGGCATGCACGTGAATCCAAAAGTACATGTGGGGAACACATCTCCTGTATTAATAACTATAAATTACACATTTCTCAGTAAAGGAAATAAGCAAATATAAGAATGAGGACTAATCATAGAAGCAAGAGTCTACTGGCTCCAAATAGCTACATCACCTTAAGAAAAACAAATGCCCTACTTCAATAGGTCTTTCTTCAAAAACAAAACAAACCAAAAAACTTGCATTTTTCTAATGCAGATTCCCAACTGGGAATGATTTTTCTGTCCAAGGGGACACTTGGCAATGTCTGGTATCATTTTTGGTTGTCACAACAGAGATGGAAGGTGCTACTGGCATCTAGTGGGTAGAGGCCAAGCTGTTGCTAAATATTTTAGAATGCACAAGACAGCCCCCACAAGAAAGAATTATCCAACCCAAATATCAATAGTACCAAAGTTGAGAATCCCTGGTCTAAATAAATTTACCTCAGCTCAGGGCTGAGTTTCTTCTACTCTTCTAACCTTTCATATAATCATATGTTCACATTGCTAAACAATCTCCAAATGTCACATGAATGTCTGTAAATATGAACCACACCTCACTGCCCAGTGAGGGAAGTGCCTAATGACTGTGGTGGGTAGAATTCTTAAAAAGCCTCCATGGTCCCAGGTGCTGGTGTCAACTTGCATGTGGGCAGAACCTGTGACTGGCCTCTAGGATATGGTAAGGATGAGAGGATTTTGTGATGTGACTAAAGTCCCTAAGGAATTGATTTAATTAATCGACAGGGAGATTATTATGGATGGGCCTGACCTAATGGGTGAGTATTTTAAAAGAGAGCCTAAAGGAGAGAGAGACTCTTCCCTGCTGGCCTTGAAGCAGCAAGCCACCGTGAGTTCTACAGCTGCAAGGAGATGAGTTCTGCCAGCAACCAGGTGAGCATGGAAAAGGAACCCGAGCATCATATGTGAGTCCAACCCTGGCCAATGCCTTGACTGCAGTGTTGTGAGACCCTGAACAAAATATCCAGCTAATGCATGTTAAAATTCTGACCCAAGAAAACTGTGAGATAATAAATGTATCTTACATTAAGCTGCTAAATTTGAAGTAATTTTTTACGCAGCAATAGAAAACTATTGCTAACAGCCAACTAATTATATCACAGATGAACTCTTTTCTTCACTCTGCAAGTTACAATCAAAACTCTTACAAGCAGCTGAGAAACACTGTTTTCCAATAGTGTTTTCTGCCCAATGGTACATGCAATGCAATGAATGTTCATGTCTCCCCAAAATTCATATGTTGAAATCCTAACCCCCAAGGTGACAGTATTTGGAGGTGGAACCTCAGGGAGGTGATTAGGCCATGAAGGTTGAGCCCTCATGAATGGGATTAGTGCTCTTAAGAAAAAAAAAAAAGTCACTCAGAGAGCTCCCTTACCCACTGCTGCCATGTGAGGATGGCCCTTTATGAACCAGGAAGTGGGGCCTCACCAGAAACTAAATCTGCAGGCACCTTGCTCTTGGACTTGCCAGCCTCCAGAACTGTGAGAAATAAATTTCTGTTGTATACAAGTTACCCAGTCTAAGGTATTGTGTTATAGCAGCCCAAATGGACTAAGACAGCACAGGACCCCAGTTAGATGGCATAAGCTTATAGTCTAAATTCATACAGGGTAGAAGAGCAAAAATGGGCTTAAAGAGCTTCAGAGCTTTGCTTGCTATCTTGAAAGATGTTAAAAGTCATGGAACAGGCCAAGCTCATGGGTAATATCTGAGCAGGGAAGACAAATGGTTGCCATCTCCTCTGAGACTGTACATTGCTCACGGTGACTTAAGGCTCTAACACAAAGTGTCATTCCCATGGTCCCTGCCCATTTCACATCCTCCACCCTCAGAGTTAGCCCAGACAGTGCAGTGACTCTCTGTTGCTTTGCGCTCAGCTGGCCTTTGTGGCCTGTTAGTGTTTGCCATCTATCTGCCAAGGTTCACCTTTGGGGGTGGCTTGACATGGTGGACCAGGTACCTAGTTAGAAGTATATCTCCATGTGCTCTCTGATCTCAGTCTGCCACTCCCTTGCTTTTTGACCTTGACCTTCTCCCCTAGAGGCTCGGTGTCTACATCTCATAGGGGAGGTGGTTGGATTAAGTGATTCCTAGCAGCTCCAACAGCCTATGATTCTGTAAATCCATTACTTTATTCCCGAAACCTGAATAATGCAAACATCCCCTTTAATAGGACAAAAACCGTTATTGTGCAACACCAATATATAGACATAAATTATTTTTATTACACTGTTGTTTAGTGATGCACAAATGGAAAACTAGAAATAAACTCCATATGCTTTAGCTCTGATTCAACAATAAAACCTAAACAAAATAACAAATTAAATGCAAAAAACAATAAAACCCATAAAATTCAAATTAACGGCATTAACTTAACGTGATAGTTGATGTTATTCTGCTGAGATTAAATTGCCTTTCGAAACTTAAATACAGTACAGGCTGTTAAAGCCAAGGTTCCCATGGTTTTGGCATGCCCATGTCACCCCACGCCAGGTGACAAATCAACCTGCCCATCACTTTCCTCCGTTCAAACTCAGGGAGCCCTTCCCTCCTACAAGAGGACATTCAGGTGGCCTTACTGGGTCTGATTGTATCATTCACATTTTAAGTCTGCTCTTTTACTTCTTATCAGCCCACAGCCATTGAAGGACGGGGGAAACTTGGATAATGAAAATCTCCTGGCAGGACTCTGTTACAAAGGGGAACTAGTATATAGTATTCATTATTTTTTACGAAGGGGAACTAGTATTTAGTATTCATTATTTTTTAAGATTACCATCAAAATGAAAGCACAAAATAAAACAAATTTCACAGAAAATTCTCAGACATGCCTGAGAACATGTGTGCAGACCCCTCAGAAGGCCACAAACTCTAATTTAGGAAATGCTAGGCTATGAAGAAAAAGAATAAAGTTGAGGAAACAAATAATATCATTAATATTATTTATAACAGTAGCTAGCATTGAGTGCATATGTTGTGTTTTGTACTCTATTAAAATTTTCTTTTATTGTTTTTTCCTCTTATTAAATAGTCACCATGCCCTATGACAGTATTTCTCAATCTTTTTTTCATTATTGTATCCCCCTAGGAAACTTTCAAGTTTTTTTTTCCTAGTTACACCGCCCCCCCACAATGAAACTGTAACACCACAAATATGCTATATATCTGTTATGTGCTTCTGTATGTATATTATAAATTGGTTTTTGGGGATAAGATATTTCAGCCCCGAAGAACCAAGTGTTTTCCCCCTGGAGGCAATATCACACACCTCCTGCTAAAAATGTATGTCCTTTGATAAGTAAAATATTTTAAAATGCCTGAGCATTTGGTGAGTTAAGTAATCAAAGACAGCAAAATAATAGATAAATACAGTTGGTTCTCCTTATTCAAGGGAGTTAGCTTCTATAAAGTTGCCTTAAATACTAAATTAGGGAATCACTGCTCTGAAGGAAAACACAGGGTTAGGTTCCTGTGAGCCTCTGGTCACGTTTTCATCAACTGATCAGTATAGGACCTTGTTTTACCTGTGTTTCTGTTTAAAGACATTTTATTTAGTTGAAACTCAGGCTGGGCGTGGTGGCTCACGCCTATAATCCTAGCACTCTGGGAGGTTGAGGTGGGAGGATTGTTTGAGCTCAGGAGTTTGAGACCAGCCTGAACAAGAGTGAGACCCTCCCTGTCTCTACTAAAAATAGAAAAATTAGCCAGGCACTGGGCATGGGCATTTAGCCCCAGTAACTTAGGAGGCAGAGGCAGGAGGATCACTTGAGCCCAGGAGTCTGCAGTTGTAGTGAGCTACAACGACGCCACTACACACTACCCAGGGGTGACAGAGCAAGACTCTGTCTCAAAAAATAAAAATAAGAATAAAAATATTGAAACTAAAGGCCAACAGCACTGTAATTCACATCTGAAGGGAGAGTATCTAACACTCACTCAGCACATCACACCCTTCTTACCCTTCAGAACACTAGATAGCTCTTCAGCACTATACCTGGGGCATTTTAAACAGTGAAAACATCAACAAAAAGCACAAAATAAAAATGTGGCACTAAATGGACCACAAAAAGAACACTTGTGCACAGTATAAGAGTGGAAACAAAAAGGCAGAGCATCATCTTGTTCAGCCTCACCTGGTAACGTGTGCACCGGCGACTCACAGTTTTCACCACTCTGTGCATGTCTGTGAAAGACCACAAAAGTGCCTGGAGTATGAACTTGGGGGTTACACATAGATCTTAGCAAACAAGCAAATTCTCAAATATAGAATCTGCAAATAATGAGGATCGACTATATATAAAAGCTCACATTAAATGTGGTTTTGCAGCTCGTGACCAGCTTCCATGCACACTGGAATGGGTGGCGTGTAGGACCTGGAATCAGAGGCCTGGCTTTATACCTGGATTTGCCATTTAATAGTCTTGGGCAAATTATGAAATGCTCTCTGCTTAGTTTCTTTAGTGTCTTCAGCTATAAATGGGGTGGGACAGGAAACCAATTTCTGCCTATTAGGGTTATTGTGAGGATTAAATAAAATAATCCAGACTGAGCACTTAGGATAGTGTGGGCATCTAGGAAATAGCCAATAAATTGTAGTCTAATGATGTTCTATTTTGGATGCTATTAATGTGCTCTTTCCTTCTGCCTTACTGCTGGAAGTGTAACCGGCTCCCCA